AAACACAATATCACGTTAAATACTGAGAAAATGATCACGACAACGGGTAGATTTTGTTAAGAATTACATCATTCGATTTGGCATGAAAAACTGGGGTGGCGAAACTTTTTAAAACCTTATAAGTCCTTTTGCTCTGGAGAAAATCAAGTTTTCCCAAGAGTTAAGCCTAAAAAACCCGAAAATTGACCAATTTCAGCTTTTTATATAAGTACTTATAAACCGTCAGCTTTCGTTCGACTTTTTTGAGCGACATTTCATTCGAAAGAGCGTACCAAACTGAACAAAATTTTATATTTAAAAGTATTTTAAAGTTAAAATAGTAGTCGCAAAAAAATATTTTACTAAAATTTTGAGGTTTTGAGAAACTGAGGTTTTTGTGGAAAAACCTGAATATTTTAAGCAACCAAACGAAAATCCATAATAGAGTTTTGATATTTTAATAGAGCAAACAAATCTGCACCCGATGCATTGTTTAAAAATGACAAAAGGGATGCAACTCGGGATCAAAATGGTCCCACAATAGCCAAAGCTGGAAATGACCAAAACACAGAAAATGCTCTAAATAATTTTGTTTCGTTGTCAAACTATTTCGAGTGCTTTTTTTCAGTCAACATTAAGTATAGAAAAACCGTTTACCCCTTCAATACGCTTTTTCTGTGGAAAAATCAGGTTTTTCCAACAAACTTAAGGAAAAAGTCGAAGTGGGTACGACTCATTTTCTAAACCTATCTAGTTTTTTGGGATGAAGGACTATACCGATCACTCACACACCATCGCATCGGCCAACACGCCAGCTTTAAAAGTATGGCGAGGTTCTTTTAAAATTTTGTTTCGTTGCTGAGAAAAATCATGTTTTCCAAATCAGAGACGAAAAACTCGAAATTCTGCCCGTAATTGAGTTTAGCGAGAAAAATTTTGAGCGTTCCGCTCATATATCTCAAAAACTGTCCCAAACTGTCTTAACGTTTTTATCAGAATAGATAGAGCTAATCGAGCTCTGCAAAATGGCTGTAGCCGATTTTTCGACAAACGTCATTTTTACTATCATCTTGAGCATCGAAGGTAGCAAGATACTGATCGTATTTTTATTATTTACGCGCGATTTTTATTCTGTTTTTCACTTCTACGGTAACCAGATCGTTTCTTTTACCGTTAATTTTCTTACTTCGGATGATTTCTAATCATAATGAACTAAGAAACAATCACTAATGAAATTTTGAAATAAATATTCAGAGATTTTTTTCTCGAGTTTCTTTAAGCTGAAATTTGAACCAATAACCATCTGTAGAATTTCTACAGAAAGAGAAGAAAAATAATATATATTCTGAAAAGTGTGTGCCTTTAACTACTATACTAGTAATCCTCATCTGCCATTCACAGGACCCTTACTGGAAGGATGCTCCCTATATTTACATGTTTTGATAGCTTTGCTAAAGTTAAGAAAAACGGACCTAGAGCTTTATACATTTATTCTGGACGTTCGATGTAGGGGAGAGTCAGCTGAAATTTTCCCCCAATGCTTGATTGATTTTGAATTTTGAAATTTGACCCCAAATGCTTTCTTCGGAAACAAGTCGCAATGAAATACTATTCAATAAAAAATTACTTACAGTAGCTAGTGTCAAGCGGAACTTTCCATCTCACAGACCACTTCACAGACCACTTTCCCTTAGATACAGAGCTCATTCAACACATCGGTTAGTTAACGTGTGGTAAGGTCGGGAAATTCGAATGAATTTCTATGTCTTAACTAGCGGTATTATCTAAGGCAAGGTATTCGTATTCGCTGGGAATTCATTTCGGTATGCAGTGGATGATCATAATGCGTTTTGATGTATATGGTGTGGTGTGGTTTCGAATTCAGTACTTCAACTGGGTTTGCTATGCCCGCATATTTTCGAAGCGTTTTTTCAATCTGTATTTTTCCATTTTCCATTCAATTCTGCCAATAATTCTCAATTTTCTCGATTAAAACTCAACTTTGTTTGCAATAAAAATGTTATATTCAGAATAGGTTTACAAAATGAGTCGTACCCACTTCGACTTTTTCCTTAAGTTTGTTGAGAAGTCTGTACTTCAACTGGGTTTGCTATGCCCGCATATTTTCGAAGCGTTTTTTCAATCTGTATTTTTCCAACATATACCTCACCTGCGCTACAGTTCGTTTCTAAATACAACAATTCTTATTCAGTTAAATTTTACTCTAAATGTATGCCTTACCATGTCTAAGTAACTAGCGATTACCGCTAGTTAAGGCATAGAAATTCATTTGAATTTCCTGACCTTACCTCGCCTTGCCTAAGATAATAGTGCTAGCTAGGGTATAGACATGCGTTTGAATTTCCTAACCTTGCCTAAGCTAATAGTAGTAGCTAAGATGAAGAGAAAATTTTGTCGAAAGAAATTTATTTTTACACTGAAATTATTCAATTTCCAGGAAATGGCGTGCCATGCACTGGACCACTTAAATACTCGCTCTAGATCAAAGTTCAGGGTTACAGCTAGTTGGTGTTGAACGCGATCGTGATTCTATACAAGGTATTGTCCGCAACAAATCTTATTCTTGCGCTGGAAACTTGGCAGCTTTTCTAGAGCGACTCGAATAGTATCTAAGACAATAATATCTCGAACAGTTCACATGTAGTTATCCTGCACGATTTTTCATGTTGAAAACTGACCGAGATTTCAGCCGACAAACTTCAAAAAACATCAAAGCAGTCGGATAGCGTAGAAATACATATCAATCGACTCAACTTTTGATCCTGATTCTGAATATAATATTTTTATTGAAAACACAGTTGAGTTTTAATCGAGAAAATTGAGAATTACGGGCAGAATTTCGAGTTTTTCGTCTCTGATTTGGAAAACATGATTTTTCTCAGCAACGAACAAAAATTTAAAAAAAACCTCGCCATACTTTTAAAGCTGGCGTGTTGGCCGATGTGATGGTGTGTGAATGATCGGTATAGTCCTTCATCCCAAAAAACTAGTTGGACGACGAAACAAAATTAATTTTTTTCTATTAATTATCACATATCGTGACACTTTAAAGGGATTCTACCACACATCTGGTAAGAATCGGAATGTTTTATATATCGGAAGATAGAGAATTTTCCCGTCACACGCGTTTAGGCGTGAAGAATAATATCGTTGGAGCAATTGGTAAAACAAACAACATTAAACTCACTCAAGACAAAATAATCATCATCAGTGGACCGAACAAAGGTAGAGACTTGCTGATACAAAGCTCTAAATAACAGTTATGGATCCGTTCCTCACGCTTTATCAAAGATGAAGATTGAAGGACGGATTAAGGGTACGTTTATAAGGAGGTTTAGTTTGATGGTGAACTTGTATGTTTTACTGTTTAAGATGGCTTTCTTGTATATTTATACTCTTTTTTCTCTTTAAAGATTGTTGTTGCTGCTACGATTACAAAAATGTTGAATAGGAATAGATTTTATAAAACAATAATTTAACAAATATCCGTAAAGATTGCTGTTTTAACATGGTGAGAGACGGCTGGCCGTGGCATCAAGCATTACTCAAAGTACCCGTAACATGACCAAAACAAACACAAATGAATGAGCTATAGATTTTGTTTCGAAAAAGTTCCATCAAAGAAATCGAAAAAAGATACTTTTATCCTATTTTGATTCTTTCTTGTTATATTCTCTATGTGACGGCCTCCCCAGGCGTACCAGCCAAAACTTTTCTATTGACGCTCACAAAACGTAAGTTTGTAACGTTTTGTAAGCGTCATAGCACTTCAGCCGAGAAACATACAGAGCTAAGGAACGTCTCATTTTGTGGCTTGAAGATCTTTTTACAAGTGGTAATTAAGCAAAGCCTATCATTATCTCAAACACCTGCGTAAGTAAAACATGAAATATAAATATTTTTGTTACATTAATTTTATTCAATATTTATTTACTTTCGTACACACTGTCTCGTTCAATGCCTGTTTGAACCAACGTTCCTGAGCAGTCATCCTATTCCGCAATGTTGAACAACGCGGAATCAGTTCCGTCCGGGAATCACTAACTAGGAATTCGGGAATTTCTTGCAGCATCTATTATAACGTGGAATTCCTGCAATTCCTTAAATCCGGAATTACTTGAAGTATCTATTGATATACAGCAATGAGCAAAACCATACAATTTATTCTATGACGGAATTCTCGGAATTCCTTCCATGCGGAATTCCTGGGAATTCCGGAATCACTTGTAACGTTTTTCCTAAAGGGTTGCGAAAGAGGATCCAGGAGACTTTTGTGTAGCACTGTCAGTATATCTCGAAAAGGTAGTATATCATTCGCTTTTCTGATAAAAAGTTTCCAAAATTCATTAGGGTGCGGTGAGAATAAATACCTCAATAGTGCAAATATCGTGTGCATCTGAAGTGCGTCCAATCAGCAAAGAAATTGTTTATTCATCTCACCCAAACAGAAAGATTAATAAAACTTACTTAAAATTATTAATTACGCAGCTTAATCTGATACGCTCTATCCGAACTCTACCTCATTTTATTTGTCAACAGGTTTTCGAATTTAAACTTTATAAATTATTTGAAGCAGCAGGTTTTCGAAATCTATATTTCAGAGTTACTACTGGAATCCATTCTTTAACTAGAAAAGTGAAAAACATTTCTCAAAGACATGGGCGTATATCGTTATATAAGTCACGTCATAGACAAGCGTGGCCAATTAATGAATTACCTCGTGGCCATCATACTAGAATTACCACCATATGCACGTTCGTCAAGAAAAACGTTATTCTATTAGGTAGAGATGTTATAAGGTCTTTTTCAATGTTTTTCAATTTTTTTAATCTCTTTTCGTAACCATAGAAGCACTACTGAAATGTTAGTATTAGATTTTTTTCAGCTTCAAGAGAGACTTCACCAACATATATTCATCAAGAAGGAGAAAACACCATATCGTCGTCACTTCATATCGGTTAATTGAGTGACCTGACGTGGTGATGTAAAGTGAAGCGTAGATGAAGTAAAGCGTAGCGATAGCGAAGTGGCAGTGAAATGAAGCGAAGTAATAATAAAATGGAGCTGAATTAGAGCTAGATTGCAGTAAAGTGACTTGGTGCTTTTCCTCCTTAATATTCACATTATTGTACATTTTAGATTCTTGTTCACTTAATACTCAAATTTTTATCAAAAATTGTTATTCGTTAGGCGTTTTTCAAATAAGCCCTTCTTTAATAAGAAAAATTACTTTTATTGTTAACATTTTAGTATAAGTAAAAGTTTACCATATCATAACATCGTAAGCTTTTCGTCTGTTTAAAAAATCTCTAAAAAAAATTTATATCTTTACTAATAGGTTATTGGATAGGAAAGAAGACACCATGTTTTCGAACATTCTCTAATAATATTGAAAAACAAATGTATGATATAAAAACGAATGGAATTAGCGTTAATAATAATAAAATTCTGGTACTAATAGCATTTGTGACAGGCGATATGCCAGCATTATCTAAAATGTCGAATCATGTTGATCATACAGCTTATTACAGTTGTATGTGGTGTTATGTAAAAGGTCAATATTTACATGAATGTCGATGTATTTTATTTAATGGTGGTATAAATGAACAACCAAGAACAGATGAGTCCTATTTAAATGATATTTATAATGTACAAAGATACGGTTATCGAGATCATTATGGTGTTAAAGAAGAAGCAAATATATCATTATTAATTGATACAACAGAACCATCAACATTTCTTATTGATGGCATGCATACAATATTTTTATGTCATGCAAAAAGGTTTTTAGAGGGCTGGGTGAATTTCTTAGACTTAGAAATAATCGCTTGCGCTCCTATTCTGCTATTCTAAGTGAGAAAAAATTCTACACTTCAATGCATTAATTATCCATTAAATGTGCATTACGTGGATTAATTATGCATTAGATGCATTAATTGTGCATTACTTTTATTAGCATCTAGAATCTATGTATTATACACCTATTCACACTAATTCTGCCGTATGTGTATTCATAAACCTTACGACCATAGTTAATACAGCAAATAGCGCAACAGAACAATACTAGAACCGAAGCATAGTAGAATAGTAGAATAGCAGAATAGTAGAATAGTCGAATAGCAGAATAGCAGAATACTAGAATAGTAGAATAGCAGAATAGTAGAATAGCAGAATACTAGAATAGCAGAATAGTAGAATACTAGAATAGCAGAATAGCAGAATAGTAGAATAGTAGAATAGTAGAATAGTAGAATAGTAGAATACTAGAATAGCAGAATAGCAGAATAGCAGAATAGTAGAATAGTAGAATAGTAGAATAGCAGAATAGCAGAATACTAGAATAGTAGAATAGCAGAATAGTAGAATAGCAGAATACTAGAATAGCAGAATAGCAGAATAGTAGAATAGCAGAATAGCAGAATAGCAGAATAGCAGAATACTAGAATAGCAGAATAGCAGAATAGCAGAATAGCAGAATAGCAGAATAGTAGAATAGTAGAATAGCAGAATAGCAGAATAGTAGAATAGCAGAATACTAGAATAGCAGAATAGCAGAATAGCAGAATAGCAGAATAGTAGAATAGCAGAATACTAGAATAGCAGAATAGCAGAATAGCAGAATAGTAGAATAGCAGAATAGTAGAATAGCAGAATACTAGAATAGCAGAATAGCAGAATTTCTCAAAAATTGATTTTGCAGAAAACCGAGGCTTCAAGAGCCATGGGCAAAAATCAAATCATTAGCTTTTTGCGCTTCACTTGGCCTTTCGAATAGCGTAAGAATGAAGGCGCTAGTTATTATGTGGAATCTACAAAATTTGATTTAATGCAAGATGCCCAAAGTCGAGGTGTTTTGCTTTGAAAATTTTTCTAATCGAGATAAAGCTTGAAAACAGTCTTAAAAACAGTTGTCTATGGTCAGTTTTGCACGAGGAATTTGAGTATAATTTTAGAAAAATTTTTGAATTTAATTTGACGGAGACAGAGCTTAGTTTTTGAGGCGGCATGTATTTTTCATTTTTGAGAAGTTCTCATTGTCGTCCAATTTTCTCCATGAAGCGACTTTCAAAACTGAAAAAAAGGTCAGATTCGTGATCAGCAGACCAAGACGCCTCAGAATATGTGTCATTTAAAGGAAAAAGAAAGATTCAACTGTTTTATTTAAATGCACAATAAACAAATGTTCAGCATTCATAACAATTGATCGCAACAACAATGTTATTCATGGCATGAAACGTAAAATTGAAGAAGATCCTGATCGTCAAATACCACAAGTGTATAAAGAACGTTCTATTTCCGTAAGTAATCTACAAAGTCAAAGCTTTTTTTAGTTTCAGAAACCCTCACTATTTACGTCATTTTATGTGTTGTTCTCTATTTGTTGTAGGATCGATATGGTGACATGGTGGGAAAATTACCTTGTTTAGCTAGTGTTAGATGAACATTGTATAGAACAATATATTTTAAAAAAAAAAAAGTAAAAGTTTTCGTAGCAACTAGAATCCAACATTTTTTTATTCAGACTCCAAAAAAAGTGAAGTTTTCAGTAAAAAGGACGAAAATGAGGAAAACATTTGCGCTAGACTAATCGAAGAAAAGCATATTTGTTTCAAAAACGTGGAATATATATATAATTAATGGGTGTCGCATAAAGAATGACCCGATTAGTATTTTTTGAATATCTCTTTCAAAGTTGATCGCCAAGTCTCAATCTTTTTATAAAAGATTCCTCATTTAATTCTCTAGCCAAAACATACTGAACATTTCTTTATATACTATATTTAAGACCCTTCACAGGCTCACGCAGTCGCAGGATGATTTTTTTTTCTTTTAGCGATTTTGCCCAAAACTATCATTTTCTAACTGCAGTTTTGAGGTACTTTTAGTAAAATCTCCGTTCGCGGTAGAAAAAAGGTTTGTAGCGAACTTATGATACAAGAAAAGAAATGTGACATTCAGAAGCACCAGAAAATACATTTCGATTCCACTTTGACGCATAGCACCGCATTCAAAATAAATACTTTTTGGTTGTGCTTTCGCTTTGGGTTTGACAGTAATCGATATAGAAGCTTTCCCATATTTCCTCTATGTATAGAAATGTTCAATATGTTTTGTGTAGGGAATTGAATGACGAGTCTTTTTAAAATAAGATTGAGACCTGGCGATCAACTTTGACAGAGATGGGATTCAGAAAATACTAATATGATCATTCATCTAAGCCGAAAACCGAAAGCCCAGAAAGAATTATGTTTGGATTTCGAAACTCTCACCATTGGAAAGAGCATATTCGAAAACCTATAAAAAACATGTTTATAGAGTTTCTTACCGCTTCTACAGCATATGTTCACGTGCCTAGTTAAAATTACCCACTGTGGAGGGTTAATTAGAATCGTCCAGCCCTTTGCATGATGACCGCAAAAGCGATTGAAACAAAAAACCAAATTAAGTTAAAACTTTATCGTTTTCTTCTCAAATCTGATCTTTTTTTTGCCAGTTTTGAGTTTGACATAACAATTGATTTCTGATTTAGTGAGGAGGTGTCTTCTAAATATTTTTATCGTTTGAAGAAGTTATGAAGTAAAACGTCTAAAAAGACATATGTATGTTCATTATCTGCAAATTTACCAAAATATTGATTTGAGAAGTTGTGCCATTTCATCTAAAACATACGCAAATTAAATAGTTAGTTAGTTTACGAATCAAATGATGGATCAATTAAGAGAGAGAGAATGATATATGAATAGAGCCTTCTTGTTGTTTCATGCCATATTGTTGCACAAACATAAATCATTGGTACAGGAAATTTTCGTTCACCTTGTATATCTGGTTCAATATTATCTAAAAAGAAACATTAATTTAGCCTATTAATTAACAAAATATGTAAAACATACCTTTCATTTCTGTTTCATCTTTTCGTGTTTTATTCAATAATAAATTTTGTTCAACAATAGGTGACTCATAAAATGGTACAATAAACAACCTATATAATTCAAAATAAAGAATTTTATTAATTGATTGCTGTGTGCTCTAGTTCTTCATTAATATATCTAACTGTACAATCAAAAAATTAAAATACATTGTGTTTTCTTTCGTCGTTGGTTAGGATTCAGTCAATTTAATAAGGGTCTTGCAAGTCGAAATACCATCACTAATTTGGTGTGCGATTGTGGATATCATTGAATATGTGGTTCACTTCTTTTGTTTTGTTCTAAAAATATTTCTCAAAGATCAGTACTACTTAGTTTATTTAAAGCAGTTTTCGCTAATATTACCTATAATCTATAATATAATCTATCTATATAAGATATTTTTTGTGCCCATGTTTTCTACAACTAGCGTCTATTATTTGTTCAACTGGTTCTTTCCATCTCCTTTTTATGTTATAAACATTGTGCAAGTGCACACAACATGTAATTGATTTTTATCCCGATTTGTTGTTTAATCGGGTTTTGATTAAATAAGAATAATTTAGAGAATAAGCACTTCAAAGTAACTAAAACTAACAGAGCTGTTAGAATACACAAAAAATGTGTAAGCTGAAATGTACTGTATGAATATATTATTATAGTGTAAGTATAAGTTAAAAGTCGACTGATCCTCACACTTGAGACGTATTCGTTTTCATGCTTATTATACTATTCTACTTTTCATCGCTTTCATACTTTTCATCGTTTTCATTGCTTTCATACTTTTCATCGTTCTGATACTTTTCATCGTTTTCATCGCTTTCATACTTTTCATCGCTTTCATACTTTTCATCGCTTTCATACTTTTCATCGTCTTCATCGCTTTCATACGAAAAGTATGAAAGCGGATGACCGAAATGAACAGTATAAAACCGGATCACAAGTATGAAAGCGATGGAAGGTATGAAAGCGGCTGTGCCAAATGAACAGTACGAAAGCGGATCATAAGTATGAAAGCGATGGAAGGTATGAAAGCGGATGAGCCAAATGAACAGTATGAAAGCGGATCACAAGTATGAAAGCGATGGAAGGTATGAAAGCGGATGAGCCGGATGA